AGCAGTGAAGGTGGACACATGTCAAACGGTCTCCTTCTCCATCGCTGCACGCCTCAATGCATTGGAGAGGCGAGGAGAATTAAACGCACGACCTCACCACCACGATGAGGTCACATAGGGCATCATCATCACCATAATAATCTCCGCCTTTTTTCTTGCTTCTGTTCTTCTTCTCCGTCTGTTAACTTTTCCTTCGGAATCAAATGTGCGCTTATATCGCATCGTAGCATTAAGTCGGCACTTGGACTACAAGAATGTAGAGCAAATCTAAACCCTTAATTTAAGCTAAAAATAAAGTTTTAGATTGTCTTTATATTATTGGCGTGAAGGGCAAGAATGGAGATTGAGAGGGTTGAGTGATTTGATATGCGCGTCCAGTGACGCTGGTGCCAAATCTGCGCATTTGGCAAGGTGACGAAATGGGAGACAATTGTGTAATTTCTTTGCAAAACTTTTGGTAGTTTTGTCGATTTTTTTCTCGTTGGGTACATTTTGCAGAAATGTGAGAAGGTACACGACCTGCTCAAGCCTTTTACATAAGGACGGGAATTTCGTGAAATTTCTGGTTCATTTTTTAATCCGATGCTTAAAGAGGCACACTGTCAGAAATGAAACAGTTTTCTAACATTTTTAAAATTTCGTGCTTTTATGGGCTGAGGCGAAGTAACGGTGTAACTTCATTGTCCTCAATCCAGAAGGTGGTTGGTGGGGGAAGGGGGAAGAATATGAGGAAGACAGCATCTTCCTCCCTGTCAAAAAGTTTCAATAGCCTCACCAGCAAGGACCCGTTTTGTGTTGTGGACTTAACAGGATGACAGACCCGTTTGCTCAGCCTATGCGCGCCAGTGAGCCTGACGGTTGCCCAGACGTTCGATAAGTAAGCTAAAAGCAAAAGACTGTGAAAAGGATTTTTTGCAGTGTTGGAAGGCCATTCGTCACGTCTGGCCCGCATGAAATCACATTATTAACAGGAGATGGCAACGAAGAAGTGTCATCTATTCTTCAATGATACTCTCCGCTAACTCTCGTTTTACAGTCCACCTTCTACCCGACACGCTGGAGGCGGCAGCAGACAAGGCAGACAGGTTGAAGTAACAGAGCATCGGATGGCTTGGTGCTGGGGCGATGCAAATGGTTTGGTCCACGAAGAAGGGTGAGGGAATGAGAGAGTGAATGGGTGCGTACGATGTTAGTGATGCCTTTTTAGGTGCTCATTTTACTGATGGAATGACGCATATAAACAATGGCATGCAGTTGACAAGTGTCTTCACATGACAGTAAGTCAAAGCGGCAAACTACGTCGTGAAAATTATCAAAAATCCTACAGCTGCTTACTGGAAAACAATATTACCTCAGAGTCCGAGTAGACCCAAAGACAAGGAGCGATAGAATCGTGACAGCACAATAAACTAAAAAGCTGAAATGGCCGGTGTCATCGACTGGTACATTTTATTGACACTTTAAGCGCCTCACTTTTTCACATAACACATCTCTTGTGAAGGAGGGAGAGAAGAGAGCTACAAGATGACTAATGCCATCACGCTGTCTTGAGGTTCTCAATCACGAAATCAAAGCCTTGAGATAGACGAACAGACAGTGCCGGTAAAGGGTGCAAAGGTAGATGAGCAAGGCTTAACAGGCCCAAACTGATCGTCCCGAGTTGTTTTCGTTAAAAATAGACAGTCCACTGGTCCATGGGATGGACAAAGAACTGCTCAATGGCTTGAGCAGCAGACAGGCACCGTAGGAGATGCACACCACTTCGCAATCATGTGGTGTTGTATGCGATCTCATTGTGGTGGTGAGGTCGTGCGTTTAATTCTCCTCGCCTCTCCAATGCATTGAGGCGTGCAGCTATGGAGAAGGAGACCGTTTGACACGTGTCCACCTTCACTGCCAGCGTGAGGTGAGCGTGTCTCGTGTGGCACTGAAATAGCCTCTTCTGTGGAAGGTGGCTGGAGGAAGGTGTGGGAGTAGAACGCGAGGAGAGGCAGGAGGGCATACGCTCTCACCAACGTGTGGAAAGAGGTGGATGAGGGAGAGAGGAGGATGAGAGGTGTGTGGTGTGGGTTGAAGAGGAGGTGAATGAGGCTGCTTACTTTGTGATGAGGTCAAATTGATCATGCTGAGTGAATGCGACGTGCGATACACGATGAGAAGGTGTTGGTTAGCTTTTTGTATTCCAAATGGCGCACTTTCAACGGTCATGTGAATTTAGGCACTTATAGTGGAGGCAACAAGATGTGATGTTGTGCTACCTATCAAATGAGGAAGTCGAGCAAAATGCGATCGCGAAGTATTAAGGATCAATAAATTTAAGCTTCTATGTCAACAATTACCCTAACGTGGATAAAATGTCTCAAGGTGTGTCTGAAAGCACTCGATTTGCGTCGTATCAATGGCTTGTCGC